TGACTGTCTGACTCATGATGCCGTTAGGGCAGAGGCGAGAAGGTCGAGCAAACGAGAGAATTGGTGTTATAATCGTTCGATTTATGAACTGAAACTCGGGCAGAAGAAAAATAGTACCCATTAATGTGTAAATAGATTGGGCCATCACAAGATAATATAATAAAAAGCCCAATACAAGTATAATATATGGATATATATACTACATGCCCTGTATATGTATGAGGCCCCTAGAAAAGTGAGGCCCTAGGCAGCAGCCTTGCCTGCCTGGCCCAAGAACCGGCCCTGCTTGCTGGGCCACGGGGATTGCTTATTTGCTTACTGTGAACATATAGGGCTTGCTTATTAGCCCTATCACTTCATATCACTTCATTACAGAGTTATTGAGCTATGCAAAGTTGCAAACTAGGAAGTTATCTTCATAAAACTACATACCACTTCATAAAACTACATATCACTCTCACATATGTAGTAATACATAGTTATTGAGCTATGCAAAGTTGCAAACAACTATGAGAGCCAAAATTGAGTGTTTTTAATTATAATTATTGTCCCAATATATCATTCTGCAGTTCATGTATGAGCTCCAATTGCGGTTCATAACTTATCAATAAAATCCATGTTACTAACTACTAAGGTGTGGACTTTATGAACACTAAGCTTTAAAATCTAAATCTTAACCCATTCATTATCACTTTGAATGTAACTGAATGTGTAAGTTACATAACAATGAAGAAAAAAAGAAACAGGAAAAAGGCTATAAAATAACACCTGAACAAATAAAATCCACATATCATCTTAAAGCTGTAAATGAACATGTGAACATATATGATTTGTCATGCTCCAACAAAATCCACATATGAACAAAATCTCCACATATGCAAAAAATAGGCTTTTTCATATAAAACAGCAACAAAAGAGAACAGGAACTACCAAAAGAGGGTGAGAATCTCACAGATATTGGAGAACCGAAAGACGAAGGCTGAGGGGACGGGAGACTTGCGAACAGGGCCTGGTACAAACGACGAGCAGTAGACGGCGAGGGTTCAGTACAGGGAACGGCGAGGGCTGCGAACGGAGAGGGCTCAGTGCAGCTTCACGGCAAGGGCTCAGTACGAACGCGGCTTGTGAAAAGGGCCTGTTAGAGGGGCTGGTGCGAACACGGGTACCGGACGACGAGGGCTCAGAGAAACGGACGGTGAGGGCTGCGGGGGAAGAGCAGCTTGGGAACATAGAGGAACGCGGGCACGTACGTCGAGGGCTCGAACCAGCGGACGACGAGGGCTACGGGGGGACAGGCTGAGTGCGAATAGTCCTTGGGACGAACGGCGACGTGGGCTTAGTACGGCGGTAACGGGGGTCGGCGAATAGGGCTTGGGACGATTTTCTGTGATTTTATGCGAGATGGAGACAATTGTAAGAAGACGATATTCTGTGATTTTGACGAGAGGCAGAGTACTTAGGAGGAGATTGAAAAAATAAACCTAAAAATTCTGTAACGGTTGTTTAAATACCCGTTGTACCCAATTGATAATCTAAATAATTTATAACGGTTTTTTAAAATAGTCGTTATAAATAATTGATAATCTGAAATTTTTACAGCGAATATAATTGATTCTATAGAAACCCGTTATAAAAAAAACATAATTATTACAAAAATGCCACCGTCTTAGTTTTTATAGCGGGTTTAACAAACCCGTTATAAAAACCCTGTTGTAAAAAATGTTTTTTCTACTAGTGATTTCATCTACATGTCAACTCCAAGTCGACCTCTTGCTTTTCGAGGTCGACTCTTTATACCTCGAGGCTCGAGGTGTAAAATGATAAGATATTCTGGATATTCAACGTGCTTAATGGATAAGGATGAATCTCTATGTGATAAGATGGAACCTTAAGTTGACTCAAATCTGACTAAGAGGTGATTAAGATACAGATAAATCGGGCGGTCAAGCCGGTCGACCTGGGGCATTTTGGGTATTTCGACTAGATATTTTTCTTTATAAAAGGGGCTGAGGTAACACCAAACCCGAACTTTTACACTCTTTATACATTTTCCATATCCTGTTGATGTTGTTCTCTGCAGAGCATCTTCTCTCTTCCTGTTGACTTAAGCATCGGAGGCTTTACGCCGGAAACCCCTTCGGCATTGAGTTCTTCCAGGTGTTCGTGGTGATTTGAAGGCGGTTCGGGCGAATTAGAGCTCATCTCAACCAGTTCAACCTAGATCTGAGAAGAACCCCAACAAGCTCCGTGTCTGACAAGTCCGACTGGACCTAGAAAATATTTCAATTCAAAATTAGATTTGAAGTTGAAATTTTGGCGTGGGCATTCCGATTTCAGTTTAGAACCTGGCCCAAAATCGGCATGTCCCATACACGGGCCCATTCTCATGTTGGGCCTAACAATAGTGGTCAGCAGGCTTATTGACACGGACAATTGGCCTAGTCAGGCTGACGGCCGGCCTAGCCCAGATGCCATGTTGGGCTTAACACTCGTGGTCAGCAGTCTTATCGACACGGTCAATTGTCCCAATCAGGCTGACGGTCGACCCAACCCAGATGCCATGTTGGTAAGAAGGATTTTATCATTTTTGTTTTAATCTTTAAATTGCTTTTAATTATTTAAAACAATCTCTTCTTTGTTTTCATAATTTGTTTAAATTAAACGAAATAATCAGTATTTAATAAAAATCGACCTTTTATTATCGATACTGTTTGTTAATATATGTTAATCTTGAAATATTACAAAGCTTAAATCCACTTCCACGTGCAAAAGTGAAGAGGAAAATCAATTAAACTTATACATAGCTACGTCTCCCCAAAATTGAATATTACCTTAATTATTTTATTAAAAAAAAAAAAAAAAGTAACAGTTCGAGCGATATGGAACCATTTTGGGCCGGAAATCAAACGGTAACTTCAAAGACGACAAACTTAAGCCTTACATTTGCAAAAGAGAGCCCATTTGTCGGCCCACCAATAGTTAGCTATTCCTCAGAAGGATCTCGATCCTCCTCCCTCTTGTCAAATCCCATTTCTAACCCTGATGCCTCTCCACACCCCACTATAAAAATAACCACTGTTGCCACACTGTTGTCTTCAACAAGCTCAAAATAGTACGCCCCACTATCATCCATTAGCAATGGCAGTTTCCCTCTTCCTCAACCGCTTTAACATTTTCAGCCCTCGTCTCATTGGATCTCTCCACTCGCCGGTCTCCTTCGTCCCTATGAAGCGCATCACTATGCCCGTCGCCGTTCACTCGATGTCTCTCTTCAAGGCGGCTCCGGTGACCGACTACGCACCATACAATGGTGCTCCCGACGGCTTTTCAGATACCGACTCCGACGAAGATATCCTTGAGGATCCCCGCGTCATCTGCTCGTTCCACGGTTACGGTATTTCGCTTTCCCTTTTTTAAGCATGTTGCAGATCAGCTAAAATTTCTAGTCGTTTATACATTGAAAGGACATTTCCATTGTTTTGCTTCCTATTTTATGTTGCAAAACGTGATTTAGTTTCGATTTGAACCTGTACCTTGGATCTAGTTTAGCCTCTTCAAATCGAACCAACTCCTGTTTTTCTGGGATACGTTTTGCATCATTTTCTAGTAATATTTTCCAAGCTTTATGTAATTGTAGGTGCTTCGGATCCGTTCCCAGAAGAGTTCACAGTCCCGTACGGGCCACCAGAGGAATCCAACGGCACACCAGTGGAATCCGACGGCTACGGCTTGAAGACAAAGCCTGTTGACAACGGCGTGCACTTGAGGATGTACCTTCCGGGAGTCAGCAAGGAAAACGTGAAGGTTTGGGTGGACGGTGAGAAGCTGTATGTCAAGGGCTCAAAGATGGAGTTTGAAGATGACATACAGGAGACAGTGATGAGCTATGCCCCTGTGAAGGTTCCGGAGAATCGTTTCAAGGCTAAGGAAATCAAGGCTGAGATGAAAGATGGAGTGCTGAAGATCTTCGTTCCAAGGATCAAGGATGATGAGAGGGCCGACCATTGGGCCGTGGAGGTCGAGTGATCTGTGAAGAATAGTAGTGTGTTTGTTATGCAGACTTAGTCTTGTGGCTTCTATGGTATGAGCTTGTGTTTGAATGTTTAGCTTTTTGTTTTGCTGTAGTCTGCATGTTTAAGGTTGGGTTCTAGTGGATCAGCATGTTTGAAGGTTCTCTGTAGCCAGCAACTTGCTATTAATAAAATTAAGTAAGTGGTTGTGGTAATTAAGTCTTCTTATCCATATTTAATTTGCGTTTGATAAATTGCTTTTCGACATATTATTGGGTTTTTAATGTTAAATGGATACTTGCACAAAAAAAAAAGAAAAATGTTAAATGGATACTAATTATTTTCAAAAACAACAAGCTGAACGTATAAATATGAACTCAGTCGCATACTTTTGTAATCATTATTCTATTTTTATAAAGTAATTTGTGTAGTCATTTTTGGCATGTTCATTTAGTCATTTACCTTGAGAAGAAAACACGTGTTCCGGAAAAGGGTATTAATTAGGGGTGACCTCAACGGGCCGGCGGGCCTCCCATGGGTGACCCTTAGCCGGCCCGCCAAAACTCAAGGGCCGGCCCGTTGAACAGACCCGATCCCGGA